AGAGGGCTCCTAGAAGACTCTTCCGCGACTTCCATTGAGCTCGTCGTGAAGTCTTTGAAGTCACAAAGCATGTGCAAACGCTGTATTCTTAGCCGCGTGAAGCGAAAAGTGCTTATGCCCCAGCGCTTTAGTATGCTTCGGGGGACAAGAACTTTAGCTGCTGACGCCAATCAGACTAGCCAGCTACCCGCGGGACCACGGCATGTTTCAGGCGAGGGGTGTCCCCGAATGGGCGGAGAGACGCTATGCGGCACTTTGCTAGTGAGGCATTCTGTGGAGCGAAGACCTGTGGCCACCAGGAACACAACGCGCGCGAGGAACTCTACGAGGCTTCCGGCGGTGACCAGGTTCACGGCTCACCGTTTGCACCCAGTTGTTTCGAATTTGGGGTTTCGGTGCCAATCTTGCGTACATACAGACGGACAGACAGACAGATAGACAGGCATACGCATAGCAGGCCCGGGGCCCGAAAACAGCTGCCTCGACCCTCCATGGGGGGACCGGGGCTCATTTTCCTTATGTTTTTACAGGGTTTCCGCGTCTTGGGCCTTGGAGGCCGCCGCCTCCGACCCCCCATGGGAGGACGGGGCGGCCCGGGAGGTCCAAACTAGTCCAGGAGGGCCTCCAGAGGCTCCCCAGACGGCTCAAGCGGGCCCCGGGAGGCTTCCGGATTGCCCCAATGTGGTCTCACGCCGGGCCTCCACGCAGCCAAGACGGCCAATTGACTGCTTCAGACTGCAGAACATAACTTTCCGACTGCCCGGAGAACCTTGACGATGCCCCCAAGGGACCCCAAGAAGCCCCAAGATGCCCCCCGATAAGCACCCAAGAGGTGCCTCCAACAGCCAATTGAGGAAGCACGGAGAAACCCCCAGAAGCCCTTCAGATGCCCCCACGAAGACCCAAGAGGTTCCCAAGAGGCCCTCAGGAGGCACGACTATGTCACGCGCCTGTGCTTGATAGCGCTGTCCAAGATCTTCTAGCGCGCCCCCAGCCTGGGCTAGAACCTGAGCGCGCGCGAAGCGCGCGCGATGGTTCTAGTATGCATGTATGCATGTATGCATGTATATCTGTCTGTCTGTGTGTATGTATGTATGTATGTATGTATGTATGTATGTATGTATATATATATATATGTATGTATGTATGTATGTATGTATGTATGTATGTATGTTGTATGTATGTATGTATGTATGTATGTATGCATGAACGTCTGTATGTATGTATGCATGCATGTATGTATGTATGTGTGTATGTATGTATGTATGTATATGTATATGTATGTATATGTATGTATATGTATGTATATGTATGTATATGTATGTTTATGTATGTACATGTATGTATATGTATGTATCTGTATGTATCTGTAAGTATATGTATGTATATGTATGCATATGTATGTATATGTATGTATATGTTTGTATATGTATATATGCATGTATGTATGTATGTATGTATGTATGTATGTATGTATGTATGTATGTATGTATGCATACATGTATGTATGTTTGTATATATATATATACACGTATGTATGTATGTATGTATGTATGCATGTATGTACGCCTGTATGCATGTATGTATGTATGTATGTATGTATGCATGCATGCATGCATGCATGTATGCATGCATGCATGCATGCATGCATGCATGCATGTATGTATGTATGTATGTATGTATGTATGTATGTACGTATGTATGTATGAAAGAGCGTGTTCTACCGCTGCTGGCGGAAAACCGGGGGGGGGGGCAATGCCCGTTCGACCCCCCCCCCCCGGCGGAAAACTGGGGGGGGTCTTTACTGGTTCGAGCCCCCCCCACACCCCTCGAAAACCGGGGGGGGGGGATTCTACCGGTTCGAACCCCCCTCCCCCTCGGAAAACGGGGGGGGTGCGGACAGTGGTGGGAACGGTGGTGGTGGTGACAGTGGTGAGGGGGCAGCGGGACAGTGGTGGGGACAGTGGGACAGTGGTGGGGACGGTAGTGGTGGGACAGTGGTGAAGGCGGTGGTGAGGGCAGTGGTGGGACAGTAGCACGGGGGGGCAAGTGGTGGGGACAGTGGGGACAGAGGGACAGTGATGGGGACAGTGGGGACGCTGGGACAGCACAGTGGGACAGCGGCGGGGACAGTGGGACAGTAGTGGGTACAGTGGGGACAGTGGGACAGTGGGACAGTGGTGGGGACCGTGGGGAAAGTGGGGAGAGTGGGACCGTGGTGGGACAATGGTGAGGAGATTGGGGACATTGACGCACTGGTGGTGGCACTGGTGGGGACAGCGGGGACAATGGTGGGAATAGTGGGGACAGTGGGACGGTGGTGGGGACGGTGGTGGTGGGGACAGTGGTGTGGGGACAGTGGGAATGTGGTGGAAACAGTGGGACAGTGGAGGGTACAGTGGTGGTGGGGACAGTGGTGAGGGCGGTGGCCAGGACGGCGGTGGGACAATGGGACAGAGGTACAGTGGGGACAGTGGTGGGGACAGTGGGGACAGTGGGGACAGTGGTGGGAACGGTGGGACAACTCAGTGGGACAGCGGAGGAGACAGTGGGACAGTGGGGACAGTGGGGATAGTCGGGCAGGGGTTGGGGCCGTGGAGAAAGTGGGGAGAGTGGAACCGTGGTGGGAACAGTGGTGGGGACTGGGGACAGTGCGACAGTGGTGGGGGCACTGGTGGGGACAGTAGGGACGGTGGTGGAACCAGTGGGGACAGTGGTGGTGAGGACAGTGGTGCTGGGAACAGCAGTAGGGGATGTGGTGCGGACGGTGGTAGGGACCGGGAGTCGTTTGCTGGCGGTGAGGGGGGGGAGGGGTTCGAACCGCTAGAGACCCCCCCCCAGTTTTCGAGGGAGGAGGGGGGGGGGTTCGAACCGGTAGTGACCTCCCCGGTTTTCGAGGGGGAGGGGGGGGGTTCGAACTGGTGACCCCCCTTTTTCCGAGGGGGGGGGGGGTTCGAACCGGTAGTGACTTTCCTGTGGTTTTCTGGAGGGTACGGGGGGGGGTAGGGGAGGGGGTGGGTTTTGCCGGGGGAAAGGGGGGGTGGGGTTTAGCAGGGGGGGGGGGGGAGAATTTTCGGAGGGCGGGGACCCCCCGTTTCCGGAGGAAAAGGGGCGGGGATTTTTCCACAGTAAAGCGGCGGTGGATCACGCTCTCTCGTATGTATGTATGCATGTATGTATGCATGCATGCATGTATGTATGTATGTATTTATGCATGCATGTATTGTCGGTTTGTAATTAAACACGTTGTGCAGAAGTCAGCAGGCCGACAGGGGACGGACTTGTGTCCGCAACCGTTTTTGCTCAAGCTTTTAATTGGCGGCCACTGCCCATGCAATCACTCGGGCACATTCTCTCGGGGGCTCAGCAGTTGGCTGCCGTCGCCGGCGGACTCGCATCTCAGTGGGCGAGTCAGGCTGGCAACTGTGTTGTGATCGCGAGCAGCATCGGCGACCTGCGGGTGGCCTTCTCATTTCTCTTCTTCGGCGGGCTGCTGCTCGGCTGCAGCCATGGCCGGATGGCGAGCTGGTCAGAGGATCGGCGTGCTCTGGAAAGACGGCGAGGACCGGCAGACCCGCGTGCTCCTGTGTCCTGGTACGATCGCCGACGCCGAGAGCGACCTCCAGATGACTGGTTTGAAAGCAGCGGGGAGGAACGGGAACATCTGGTACGCCCTCACGCCGGACGGGTATCCATGTCCTCGAATCCCCGGGAGTACGGGGGTCGGCGCCGTGCGATCAGATGGGCCTGCCCGAGCGGACCGGACCCTTGCGGTTCGGGAGGACGTGGCGAGCAGGAGGCAGGATCTACGGTCAGGAGTGGGCCCCGACGCCGGAGGAGTTCGTCGACGCGCTGGAGTTCGCGCTGGGCGACTCCTTGTTCGGGGCAGCACCGCAGGTGGCGGACAAGACGGTACCCGTGCTGCGCCGGATTAGCAAGAAGGGGCCACTCCCAGCTGGCGTGGGCTTGGCTGGGGGAGCTCCTCCGAGTAGCTTCGTGAGCGGCTCGGGGGCCCTGCCGACAGCGGTGGGGATGCGCTGGCAGGCGCAGGCAGCCAGCGGCCCGACCCTCGAGCACCGCCCGCTGCAGGGCTCCGACGTGGACGAGTACTGCACCTTGGGGGGCTTCGCGCTGGCGTCGCAGGAGGGCGAGCTGCTGCTGCTGAGGGAGGTCGAGAAGGCCGCGCTGGAGGACGACACGGAGGTGGACGCCCGGCTGCTCCCGCTCGTGGAGGTCGAGGGGGTGCGCAAGCGGCACTTCAAGGACTCGCTCAAGGGGCTCACGGAGACGGCGTGGCGGGAGTGGTCCGTGCGCGGCCCGCGCACGGCGCTCTGGTGCGCCAGCTTCGTGGGTGACCAGGACAGCCACCCACGCTCGAGGCATGCGAAATGGAAGGCCGAGTGCGGTCTCACGACCGCCGACGTGGGGGTGTCCGAGCACGAATTGTGCATGCGTGTGCTGGAGTTGGCCATTACCTTTGATCAATTGAACATTGGGGAATTGGCCAGCTTCGAGCTTATGCTCAGGCGGGAACAAATGACGGAGTGGCGCTACAGGGAGCGCGTGCTGGGGCGTCCACTCCCGGACGACACCGCGGAGGACGAGTTCCTCTACATGGGGGCGGCCGAGACGGGGGCTGCTCATGGTGGCCCCCGAGCTGCAGGCCCACATCTCGGACGAGCTGCACCGCGAGTCGGCGGTGCTCAAAGAGAGGCGCAAGCTCCGCGAGGAGCGCTTGGCTTCACGCGGGCTGCCGCCGGCTGGCGGCGGCGGAGGCTCGGCGTCCGCGGCGGCGATGGAGACCAAGATCAAGCAGCAGGCGGCGGAGCTCTCGAGGCTCCGGGCGAAGCTCAACCCCGGCGGCGGAGGCGACCCAGCCGCGGGGGAGAGGCAGGCCGCGGCCAAGGGCCGCGGCCGGGGCACCTAGATGATGGTCGCGCCGCGGGAGCTCCTCCTTTTGAGGGGCCCTGCGGCTCTGGGCGCCTCGCCGACCCTGGCAGGCGTCAGTCGGGCTGTGCGGTCGCGTGCTCGTCGGCGCGTGGCCTGCTCGTCCAGATCATGGATGCAGTCAATAATTTGTATTTCCACGGCGAAGTACAGCAGCGCCACACCGTCTCAGCTGGGCAGCAGCTCGCACTGGACCACATCAGCGACGTGGTGCAGCGGGCCGGACCGCCCATGATCGAGCCCGCGGCAGCCTTTCGAGCGCTGCGCGGATCGGCGCCAGGGTACACGGAGCCCCCGGCAGAACATTCACCCTATCGACGAGGCGCTGTCTCGTTGCCGGCTCCTGGAGCGGACCTTGCCCGTGGTGACGTCTGCCTTCGCGGACCGGCATTGCAAATGTGGACAGGGTGGCGAGACTGTCTCTTGCACCCCGACCCGGACCTCTCCGGGGCAGTGCGGCCGAACTCGGACCCCAAGCTGATCCGGGACAGCGGTGCGTACGCCGAGTTTTTGGTGGACATGGCACGTTCAGGGCTCGTCTCTTTCACGAGCGAGAGGCGGTCCACCGTGGGAGTCTTTCTCGTGCAGAAAGGCCCAGATCGTCTGCGATTCATTCTGGACACCAGACGAGCAAACAAGTGGGTTTTGGATCCTTGCCACGCCCAGCTCTCTACACCATCGAGCTGGTCCTCGCTCTACTTGCCGCCGGAGGCGGAGCTGATGATGTCGCAGACCGACGTCAACAACGCGTTCTACCGCATCCAGCTGCCCCCCCGGCATGAACAACTACTTCATCTTGCCCAGCATCGACGCCAAGTGGATCACCGAGGCTGCTCCAGATCTGGCTCCTGGACTCCCCGCCGGCATCCGCATCTCCCCTCGCATGGAGGTGCTCCCCATGGGGTTCAACTGGGCGCTGTTCTTCTGCCGGGGGATGGTCCGCAACGCCGCGGAGGACGCTGGCTTTGCTGACAGTCGGATGTTCCTGGATCGCCACTCGGCTCCCGACATCGCCACCGAGGCAGGCGCCGCCGTGCACGTCGACGGCGTGGCCGTGGTGGGGGCGGACCTGGAGGCGGTCGAGGCCGGCGGGGCCGCCGTGGCCAAGCAGCTGGAGCAGCGCGGCCTCCAGGTGAAGGGGGTCGAGGGTCCCTCGGACTCCCAGACCTTCATGGGGGTGGAGTTCGATCGGGCCTCCGGCCGCATCTCGCTCAGCCGCGAGAGGATCTGGAGGCCGCGCGCGGCCTTGCTGCTTGCTACGGACCAGCGCTACCTGACTGGACGCCACATGCGGCGGCTGGTCGGCCACTACACGTGGGGCGCGACCCTGCGGCGGGAGCTCCTCAGCGTCGTCAGCAGCGTCTACGCGTGGGCGGAGGAGGCGGGCGACAGGAGGTGGCGCCTCTGGCCGTCGGCCGAGCGAGAGCTCCGACAGGCCGCCGCTCTCCTGGCCTTCGCATTCGCGGACCCGCAGCGTCCGTTCCACACCGCGGTCGTGGCCACCGACTCCTCGGGCGCCGGGCAGGACGACGCCGGTGGCTACGGCGTGGTCGCGCAGGAGTGGCCCGCGGAGGAGGTCCGCCGCTGCTGCGGGCATGCCGAGAAGTGGCGCTACGGGGCGCAGGGGCTCGTCGCGGCCCGAGCGGCCGCGCTGGGCAGCCCAGCGGACTCCTGCCCGCCACGCCCTGGGGCGGAGAGCGGCGAGAGGACCGCGGACTTCGAGAGCATGACGCGGGACGACATCGGGGCCTTCGATAACTGGAAGCTGGTGTGCCGGGGCCGTTGGGCCCGGGCCGAGGGCGTCCTGAGGGCCGAAGGCCGGGCATGCATGATCGGCCTCCGTCGCGAGCTGAGGTCCACAAGTACGCACGGAAAACGATTGCTCTTTCTCGTGGATAACATGAGTGTGGTGTTGAGTTTGGGTAAGGGTAGATCCAGCAGCCATCAGATGAACCGAACATGTCGTGAGCTCCTTTGTTTGTCGGTTGTCGCCGACCTCCAGGTCGCGGTGAGATGGGTCGCCTCAGAGTTGAACCCCTCCGACCGCGCTTAAGGGCTCAGCGGCCTCGCTGGGCGGGGGTGGGCCCCGCGCGGCGGGGGGCGATGCTGCGCCGTCCGAGGCCGTGCTCGCCAGCCGCTTCGACGCCGAGCTGGAGAGCGCGGCGCGCAGCCTCGGGCCCGCCGGCGGCGGGGCCACTGGCGGCCGCCCCCTCGCCGGCCTCGGCGACCAGCTCGCTGCTGAGGAGGCCGGGCCCGGCCCTGTCGCCGCGGACGCCGGCGAGCTCAGCGACAGCTCCTCCAGCTCTAAGGAGAGCTGGCCAGCCGGCGTCGGCGACAGCGGCGGCCAGGAGCCGCCGCTCACGGGGTGGGCCGACCGCGGCGCGAGCGACTCGAGCAGCAGCGCGCGCCCTGCGAGCCCGCCGCGGTCAACAGAGGCGGCAGCACCAGGCGAGAGAGAGCGCCGAGGCCCGGCACCACGGCTTCGCCAGCCTCCAGATGGCCAAGATCGGTCCGCGCCCCCGCGCCCAGTACCAGAAGTTCCACCAGGCGTTCCTGGAGTGGAGCAGCCGGGAGGGGCAGCCGCTGGACACGGACCTCCAGATCGACTGGGCCCTCAGCAGGTACATGGACTACCTGTGCTACGAGGGCTTCAAGGCGGACGCTGGCGAGAAGGTGCTGGCGGCCGTGGTCTTCCACGGCCCGGTGGAGGGCATGGAGCTCCCTGGAGCTCGCCGGGCGCTGGCGGGGTTCCGGCGCCGGGCGAGCGCGAGGGCCCGCAGCCCGCTGCCGCTGGCGGGCGTGATGGCCATCGTGGGTGCAGCGGCGGCCGACGGCCAGCTCCCCTTCGCCTTGTGGCTGGTGCTGGCGTGGGAGGCGTACCTGAGGCTGCCGTCCGACCTCGTGAGCATGGTGGGCGCCTCGCTGGTCAAGCCAGCCGCCCGGAGCCCCCGGGCCTGCTGGGGCTTGCTCCTGTTTCCCCAAGAGGGGGAGGCGCGCAGCAAGATGGGGCACTACGACGAGGGGATCATGCTGGACGGCCTAGCGCCTTTCCTTCGCCGTCTGAAGTCCCAGACCGGCGACGCCAGCCCGCTGTGGTCCTTCTCGAGCGCTACCTTCCGGCGCCTGTTCAACGAGTATGCCGCGGAACCCGCGCCGGGTTCGGCGCGGCGGGGCCTCGCTGAACGCCCTGGAGAGCCGGCGCAGCCTGAAGGAGATCCAGGAGCGCCTCCGACACCTGTCCGAGTCCAGCATCGGCCGGTGCAAGAAGGGGACCAGGTACCTGGCCGAGGTCAACAACTTCGACAGCCGGGCCCGATCCTACGGCGAGCTGGTCCTCATGCAGGCAGCTCGGCGGGGTGCTGAGCGGGCGCGTCCGCCTCCCGCCGCCGCCGGCCCTCGCCGGCGCCGCGGGCTGCGGCCTGGCGCCGTGGCGCGCCAGGGCGACACCTTGGAGGCGGTCGAGCGGGCCTCTGACGCCAAGGTGGTCCGACACCTCCGCCAGGGGCTCGCCAGGGCCAGCCGGCGGGGCCGGCGGCGCGGGCAGGTCTTCCTCGATCTGTTCAGCGGGGCCGGAGGCGTCGCGAGGGCCCTGGAGCGCCACGGCGACAACGGCTGCCTGCAGGTTGACATGGAGGCCGACGCGGCCTTCGACCTGACCCGCCGCTCGGCCCAGCAACTCATCCTGGGCTGGATGGCTGGCAGGCGGGTGCGGGGCCTCTGGATCGCCTTCCCGTGCACGACCTGGTCAGCAGCCTCGCGGCGCACGTACCGTCGCCCGGGAGAGCTCCGAGGGCGTGCCAATTTGACTCCATAGCAAGAGCACAAAGTGAGCCTTGGCAATAAGACTGGCCGCCACTATGCGTTTCATCAGAGCTGCCATCATGAGAGAAATCCCAGTTATCGAAAACCCTCTCGCAAGTATGGCTTGGCAAGTCCCTGACATGAAGAGATTAATGTCACACCGTAGCTGTAGTATAGCAGTTGTAGACCAGTGCATGTTTAACACTCCTTGGAAGAAGCCGACAACACTTTGTAGGCTGGAATGTGTCTGATCCGCCCGCCCCGCTGGTCCAGCGTTGTCGGGGGAAATCTCTGTGCTGTGAGACCCTCCGGCCGCGCCTCATCCTTGAAGGTCGCCGGCGGACTGCTTTGGCTCAAGCCTACCCGCGGGGGCTGGCGGAAGCGGGCGCTCGATGGCTGATCACAGCAGCCGACAGTATCGAGCACACACATGTCGGAAGGTTGTTGTTTTAAGCTGTTTCGTGTTCTGAACTGCAGTTGCTGGTGTAACATACGCATGATTGAGAATTGGAGTGCTTGCGGCGTGGCCAGTAACATGAATGGGCTGTGGGGGGCTTTGCCCTGAATCCCTCTGCCGACTCGGGCCCTGGAGACGGCTCGGTCGCAAGTCTCGTGACAGCATAGGTTCTCTTGGTTGCAAAAACAGTGCACATTGTCTGTTTGTAATTAAACACGTTGTGCAGAAGTCAGCAGGCCGACAGGGGACGGACTTGTGTCCGTAACCGTTTTTGCTCAAGCTTTTACCGCCTCCTCCTCTCCTCCTCTTCTTCCTTGCACTCTCACGGCGGGGGCTTTTCCCTGAATCCCTCTGCCGACTCGGGCCCTGGAGACGGCTCGGTCGCAACTCTCGTGACAGCATAGGTTCTCTTGGTTGCAAAATCAGCGCACATGTATATACATACGTATGTATTTGCATGTTTGTGTGTCTAAATATGTATGGACTTATGTCTGTCTGTCTGTCTGTTTGTCTGTATGCATGTATGTCTATATAGCTGTATGCATGTATGTACGCATGCATGCACGAATGCATGTACGTATGCATGCATGCATGTATGCGTATATGCATGTATGCATGCATGTATGCACGTACATATATATAGATATGCATGTAGGTTTGCACTTGTACATTTACTTCTGTATGTGTGCATGCTTGCATGTATGGATGTATGCATGTATGTATGTGTGTATGCATGCATGTATGTATGTATGCATGCATGTACATATGATGTCTGTATGCGTGCGTGTATGTATGTATGCATTCATGCACGCATACATGCATGCATGCTTATATGTATGCATGCATGCACGCACGCATGTATGTATGTATGTATGCATGTATGTAATGTATGTATGTATGTATGGATGGATGGATGGATGTATGTGTGTACATGCATGTATGTATGTATGTAGGTATGTATGTATGTTTGTATGTATGTATGTATGTATGTATGTGTATGTGTGTGTATGTATGTATGTATGTATGTATGTATGTATGTATGTACGTATGTATGTCTCTGTGTGTGTATGTATGTATGTATGTATGTATGTATGCATGCATGTATGTAGGTTTGTATGTGCGTGTACGCATGTATGTATGCATGTATGTATGTATACATGTATGTATGTATGTATGTATGCATGCATGCATGCATGCATGTATGTATGTATGTATGTATGTATGTATGTATGTGTGTGTGTGTGTATGTATGTATGTATGTGCCCTCCTGGTTCGACCAGGGAGGCGTATGTACCGGTCTTGGGCCCAGGATGGGGCTGGCCAAGGGCGGTGTATGTTTATGGATCTCGTCTGGAGGAAAGGAAGAATGACACGCCCTCTCCCTCCTCTTGCAACGTGGCGATCACAGTGGGGTTCTTTCTCGGGATGCGCCAGCATGCTTGCGCCGATCTTGGGCTCAGGACATATATGAGTGTGCGCCTTCATCGCCAGGTCTGGGTGGCGTACATGGCTGGTTCGCGCAGCGTCGACGCGGCGGCGACGCCGGCGCGGGCAAGGCCGGCGGCGGCCTGAATCAGGCTAGTCTTGAACGATGTCTGCTGTTGGATGGCGGCGGTCGCTCGAGAATGAACGATCCGCGTGGTGTCAGGAGCCAACGCCCTTGCCCACAGAAAAAAAACGAGCCGTTCCCCGATTCCAGGACCAGAATGTGCCGGGCCAGGATCGGCGTAGGTGCAAAGTTGGCGCCCCCCTCTCTCTTCCTGCGAAGCAGCAGGGGCATCACGTGCGGGACCCTCCTCCTCACACTGGTCCGCGGCTGGCAGTTTTCCGCTCAATTTCGCGCGCGCCACGCGCAGCGTTCTTTTTCGTGTTGCGCCTGTGCTCCGCCTGTATCCTTTTCCTCCATCCATCACTCATCCTCCCTCTTCTCTCCTCCACATCTCGCTGTTCCCCCGCTTTCCTCGCTCCTTGCACCTCGTCCCCTCGCCCCTCGCCTCGTCCCCCTCTTCAGCAAACTCTTCCTCGTCCTCGTCCCCCTCATTCATTCCCTCCCTCGCCCGCGCCTCCTCCCGCCGCTCGTCAGTCCGACATGGAAACGTGGGAGGGCCACACCGCGCTCTCCATGTCAGGCTGCGCGGACAACCAGACCTCTGGAGACGTCGGGGTGCCTTCCCACGCCTGCGCGGGGGCGGTGGTGGAAGAGGGGACGACAATGAAGGGCCAAGGTTAGAAGAGCAGGATGTTGAAGGAGGATGGAGGATGGATGATGATGATGAGGCCTAGGAAGACTGATGATAATGCTGATGAATATATATATATATATATATATATATATATATATATAGATATTCTTGAACGGTTTGATATTGAGCTCTTTGAATTCGGTGATGTCTGATTTACAACGCACCTGCTAAACGATCCAAGGAGTTTAAACATCGGACTTCCCTCTCACTTGACCCCTCTCCCCTTCCACAGCCTGTATTCGGCTGAGAGAGAGGCGGCGCGCCGCATGCTCGCCCCCGGCGCGACGGTGGCGCTGCCGGCCTTGTGCGTGGCGCTGCTGGCGGGGCTCGGCTGGCGGCTCAGCCTGGTGCCCCTTTGCACCCGAGCCGCCCACCGAGGCTCGGTCGTGGCTGGAGGAGGTCGCGGGTCCCTGCAGCGCGGTCTCTGAGGCGGCCCAGGCGGTTTCACGGCTGGCGGCTTCGGGTCCGCCACCCCCGCCGCCGGCGGCGGCCTGCGGCCCTTGCGTCTGCCCCGAGCTCCCCGCGTCGCCGCGGCCCGAGGCCCTGCTGCCGCACCTGCTGGCGAGCTTGCTCACGCCAACGTAGGTGTGGCTGGCGGATCGCTGCTGTAACTGCTTCGGTCGCCTCTCCGCTCCAGGGCGTCATGCTACGCCGTCGCGGGCGCCTGGCAGCCCTGCCCCCGTTGCCCGCCCTACCCTGCCCTGCGGGGCTCGCGCCTGGGTGAGCTACCTGGGCGACCACGTTGACCACGAACGGCTTGTGGTCTCTCCCTCCAGGCGCGTCGAGGAGGGCTCAGTGGTGGACGATCACGTGTGCTGGGTCCTCTCGCCCGATGGCGACCTGTGGGAGGAGCTGCTGTCGGGGGCCTCGCCTGACGATGGGCCCTCTGGAGGAGAGCGCCTCTCGGCTGTGGACGCCCTGCCGCCTGGCGGTCGGTGGCTCTACGGCTTTCGGGATCGCCCTTCGCTCGCGCGGTTGGTGGGGCTGGCTGAGGAATGCATGCAGACGATGGAGGCGCGCGGCTAGACCGCGGCGGAGACCCCTGCTTACGTGGAGCTTCCCTCGGGCTGCCTGCTGGCCGCGGCTGAAGTATTCCCGTGGGCGCCTCCAGCTCCTGCGTCGCGGCGGCTGCGTGGCAAGCAGTCGCTTCCTGCGACGGGCGGCGACGCGGGCGAGGCTTTGGTGGCCGTTGCTGGCACGCCTACTCCCCCGCCCGAGGGGCAGGCATGGGTTCTTGCGGAGCAGACGGTCGGCCTTGACGTCGGCGTCATCGTGGACCCGCCGAAGGCGACCATGGTGGGCGAGGGCGTGGACGCTCTCTGGCTCCGCCGTGGCAGGGCCCTTTCGCCTGGAGCTGATGGCGGCCGATGAGGTGGCTGACTGGGCTGCGCGGCGCGTCGCCGAGCTGGGCCGCCTCCTGGAGGTACGACCTCCCGCGGGCGCCCCCATGGAGGCGCCCCCGCCAAGCGCTGCGGGTGCCGAGGGCTCGCCGCCGGCCGCGAAGGACGACACAGGAGGCGAGGACGCGCGCGCTGTGGGTCGAGTGGGGCGACCAGGGCGACCGCTATAAGGAGTTCAGGAAGGCCGTGGACGAGTCGGTATGCTACGACTTGGGCCACCAGCTCTTGGAAGGGGGCTTGACGTGCCTCCACACCTGCAAAATGATGTTCCGGACGGCGGGCTCGCCTCGGGCCTGGCTCGAGAAGTTCTTGCGCGACAAGAACATCGCGCCCGCGGACAGGGTGGCCCATGAGCTGCGGCCCCTGGCGGGGGCGCTTGAGGAGGCAGGCTGCTTCGACCCAGTGAACTTGGGTGGCCTCGCGTGCCTCGGGGTGATCGTGCGCTGGCTCAACGCCATCGTGGGCGCCTACAAGCGGGGGGGGGCGCCGTCGTTCGCCAGCGCCAAGTGCATGGCTTCGCTGGGCGACGCTGATGAGCTGCTGGCGCCCGCTCTCAGGAGTCACGCCACTCGCAGGGCCAAGGAGGACTACTGGGAGGTGGAGCAGTCTATGAAGAAGGCGGGGGCGGTCGACGCTCGCGTGACTTCGAGCTCTGGGGCCGCCGATGCCAGCGGAAGTTGAGGCGCCGCAGGGGCCGGCGGTGGGGGCAGAGGGCGAGGTCGCGGCCGGGGCCGAGGACGTGCGCCGCCCCCGTCAGCCCAGTCATGACCGATCAGGCGCGCCCGGAGGAGTGGGCCCCCTCCGGCTGGCGCCGCGGCTTGGCGCGCGCCTCGCCGCTGCCGCGGTCTGATTTTGAAAGAGATTTGTCCCTCCTGCCGTTGTTGGCGATGCCGGGCGGCCTTGGTCGGGGTCGCAGGTCTCGGCGCAGGGCCCGTCGGCGACAGCATGAGGTGGAATTGGTGAATCGAGCTCTTCGTAGTCTCATCTGGTTGGCTCGGCACAAGGGCCCATCTTCTTCGCCGCCTCCGGGCGCTGCGACCCTGGACAAGCATGCGGCCCTTCGGCAGCGCCTGCTGCGCGAGGCCGCAGCCCCTCAGGTGGCGCCGAAGGCGGAGGCAGCCCTCATGGAGTTGTTCCGGGGCAGTCCGTGTGCGAGACGGACTCTGCCCCGAGGAACCTCGTCTCCTACCAGCCCAGCAAGGTCTCGCTGCCGGGTGACGTGCTGGACTGCCGTTTCATCGAGGACATTGTGAGCCCCAAGTGCCGCTCTTTTCTGGAGGAGGACCATGGGCGGATGAGGTTGGAGTCGGAGATGGTTGATCTCGACAGTATGCCACGTCTGTGCATGGGTTCCGTGTTGGAGAGAAATCCCAAATCCTATCGCGCGCTTGCGCGAGATCTGGCTAGACGTGGACTTCCGGGAGTGGCGGCGAGGCCCGCCGAGTCGGTGGGCCTCTTCTTCGCGGCGAAGTCCAGCGGCGCATTGCGGATGATTATTGATGCGAGACGCAGCAGCGGCCACTTCAGGGCGCCCCCCGGCGTGCAGCTTCTCAGCAGTGACGGTTTCGGTCGCATCGATGTGGAGCTGCTGCCCGGCGCCCTACCTTCTTCGTCCTACCTTCTTCCGCCGAGGGCCGCCGCTTGCTGGGCGCCGCCGCCGTTTGCGTGGCCACCGCGGATGTCGAGGATCGCTTCTACAGGATGCGCGTTCGCGAGGACCTCGGCCGATGCTTCTGCTTGCCGGTTGTCGCCGAGCACGTGGTGGGCGGGCTGCGAGTGGAAGGTGTCCGGGCGCTCTGGTGCGGCTGCGCTTGGCGGTGCTGCCCATGGGCTTCACTTGGTCGCTCTATCTGGCCCAGGCGGCGAACGAGGACAGGGTCTGCAGGGGCCTCGGCCTGCTGGAGGCGGCGCCCGCCGAGAGGCGCCAGCCCCTGATCCAGGGCCAGGCCGAGGCTTTCGTGCTGGCGGCCTCCTCGCGGGGGGTCGGTGGCGCGCGCGCGCGCGCGGGCTGCTCGGGCGCGGTCGCGGGCGAAGCCTCCCTCGGCGAGAGGGTGGTGTCAGAGTGGAGCGACCTGTTCGTGCCGGTCGGTCTGGCGCGTCGCAAGTCGGAGTCGCACGGCGGCGCTGGAGAGGCTCTCGGGGCCGAGCTGGACGGCGTCCGCCTCCGCTCGGGCATCGCCTCGAGCAGGTTTTGGAAGTTCGAGCGAGGTCTGACTGGCCCACTCGCCCGAGGGCGTTGCAACGGCCAGGCGCTTGTAAAAGGTGATCGGACATCGTGCGTTCTGCGGGCTGGCCTGGCCGCTCGTGAGTCGCCCTCGATTTTCCACGCCGTATAGAAGTTTATATCGACGCAATGCTTTGAGGCGGGCCCAATGTGGCCTGAGGTCGTCGGTGGGCTCCAGGCCTTCCGCGGGCTGCTTTTGCTTTTGGGCCGAGACTGGTGGCTCTTCTGGAGCCCCTGTGTCCTCGAAACCGACGCCGGTCTCGCCGGTTGGGAGATGGCCCAAGGTTTTGGGGTCCTTCTCAAGTGGCCCGTGTCGGTCGTGTCAGTGAGCGGTCTCGATATAAGCGTGCGGGTCCTCGCTCGGCTAGGGGGTCCGCCCTCGCCTCCGCCCGCCTCTTCCGCGACGACGCCAGCGAGTGGGGGGGTCGGATTTTGGGAGACGAGGTCTGCGCTGACGACTGGGAGGTCGTGGCGGATTTCCCCGAGGTCCCCTGGCAGTTCCTTCGCAGCTCAGCGTGGAAAACTGTCCGGACGGGGGTTTTGGCTTTGTGGGGGGGGGTGTCCTGGCGTTGGAAGCCCGGGCTATAGTGGGGGCCATTCGGGGACTCGCCCGTGCCATGCGCGGGACTTGTATCGCGCAGCTGTTCTTGCGCGACAGCGTGGCCGTTGTTCTCGCTTTCGCCCGCTCGAGGAGTCAGGGCTTTAAGTTGCTAGTCCAGATCGAAGATTTAATGCGTGCGCCCCCGCCCTCGGTATTGCCTCCTATTTCCGGTGGATCCCTTCGGAGTTTAATATGGGTGATGCTGGGGGCCGTGGCCACTCGGAAGTTTCGTTTAAGTTTTTGTTACCGTTGTCTTAGATCAGCAGCTTAGGTGCGCCGCGACGGCCTCGTCTGGCCACCTCCGTAGTCCTTTCGGCTCAAATGATCTGTTAGCTCGTCTCGCTTCTCTACCTGAGAATCCAATCCAAGTCGATGAGATCTCGGGCGCTGCGGCCGACATCGGCCCCTGCGAGGGCGAGGCCGCCGACGCCCGCGAGAGCCTCGCCGGCGCCGACCCCCGACTTTCCGGCGCCGACGCCGCGTGGGGCAGTCGCGGGGCCAGCCGGGTACTCGAGATCGCTGCCGACTGCACAGGCGAAGTTGAGCGTTCTTCGGAGGCCAGGCCCCGCCTTGCCGACGGAGAGGAGCGCGCGGGCTCGGGGGGGGGCCCTCGCGTCGGGCCACCGCTGCCGCCCCCGCTGACGCTAGAGGACCTTGCTCCCGCGGCCCCCGCTGGCGACGCCGAGGCGGGCGCAG